AGCCTACACACCAGGTTTTAAAATCTTTAGCAGTGGCTGGGGGTCAGCCATCTCTATTTCAAAGAAGCCTGAACTTAAAATTCCTGCAAGATATTAATGCGTGTGGCTGGTGTTTACTTTTTAACTCTTATTGTTAATGAACTAATATTTAGTCTTATTCTATTTATTTTTATTGTATTATTTTATTCTATTTATTATTATTTAATCTTATTCTAGTACAGGGACTGTAGAGCGGGAATGCCAACCCAACATGCTATGCTAATTTTCCACTCCACACTTTCATTCTAGACAGGAGCATCAGCCCAGAAACAGGAGTTCACGCCCCAGTACATTGGCCCTTGCTATGATATATGTCATCTAGAGTCATTACTTTATACTACTAAGAAAGAGGCAAAACTCTATTTTTGCTATTTATTTTAATGTGAATTATCCACGAATCCACCCATGAACAATGGAAGAATTAAAATAGGAAGTTCTAGAATAAGAGTTACATATTTAAAACATTCTTCTGCATCTGTGTGAAGGAAGTTGAGGGTCCAGAGCAGAAAGAAGAAGAGTTTAGAAGCAACAGAAGTTGTCTAGGTAAGAGGTGACAGTGCCTGGGTCCAGAGTCAGTGGCAGTGGAGAGGGAGAATGAATGGAGTGGGAGGGATGAATCCCAACAATGTCCTGGAGGGGGAGCTGACAAGACCAGCTGATCAGAGGTGTGGGGGAGAGAGAAGGGTGAGACAAGAATGAGGTTTCTGGCCAGCCAGCTGGGCCGTTGATGCCAGTTATTGATGTGAAGATGGTGGAGGATAAGTAGGTTCAACTAGAGGGAAGAGGACAAGTGCACACACTCTGGGTCTGAGGTGTCCACGAGACATTCAAGTGCAAGTGTGGGAGACAGCTGCACACTCAGATCTGGGCTTTGGAGGAGAGATTGGCATTTGGAAGCACCAGAGAATAGGTGAATGTTGAAGTGATGGGGGTCAGGGAGGTAGCTGAGAGGATACAAGGACAGAGCAGAGACCAGGGCTAGCACAGGGCCATCAGGGACCCCAGTACATAAACATGGGGCAGACGAGGGCAGAGAGGGCTGAGGAGAGGCAGCTGAGACGTGAGAGGGAAGCAAGGAGCCTGTGATAACTAGCAGCCGTAAGAAGAGTGTTTCAAGAGCATGGGCATCCTCAGTGCAGATGAGATATTACATAAATGACAACCAAATGTACCCTTCGGATTTAGCGATGAGAATGCCACTGGTACATTGATAGAACCAATCGCAGGCTGTGAGTAAAATCCAAACCCTAGCCTGGGCTGAGAAGTGATGGAGAAAAGAACTTGGCAAAGGCCAGGGTAGCTGCTAACCCTTTGAGAAGTTCAGATGAATTTTGTATCAAACTCAGAGGGTCAATACTATATACCACATGGCTAAGAGCCAGATGGCGGGGGTTCAAATCAGTTTCTACAGCTGGGAGCCTGGAAACTGGCACAGCACCATTTCCACTGTGTTCCCTAGGTCAAAGTGGTCCCAGAGTCCACCTAGATTCAAGGGGAAAGACGCTGGCTCGATGAGAGCAGTGTCCAAGAATTTGCAATCATGTAGACTTCCACAGCTCCAAACTCAATGCTTCAGAGGGAACATACCTATAAGTAACTATATTAGTTATTGGTTTCCTTTTCTTTTCTTTTTAATGTAGAGCCATGATTTCTCTCTGCTGCCTGCCTTGCCTGCATTGCTGGGCTATATTCACAGGCACAATCATAGCTCAATGTAAGCTTGAACTCTTAGCCTAAAGCCATCCTCTGCCTTGGCCTCCCAAGTAGCTCAGACTATAGGCACATACCAGTACACTTGGCTAATGTTTTATTTATTTTATTTATTTATTTTTTTACTTTTTAGTGATGGTGTCTTGTTACGTTGCCCAGGCTGGTCTCAATTTCTGCCTTGGCCTCACAAAGTGCTCGGAGCATGAGCCACTGCTCCCAGCCTGATTCCAGTCTTTTTCTATTACAAATAGTGCCTAAGTAGTCTTGCACATGTATCTTTCCAGACTTTTTACAGTTTATTTTTGTCTTCAACTTTTTTTTTGGTAGTAGGATTGCTAGGTCAGAGGATAAACACAGGTGTAATTTTGCTAGCTCTACAAAATTCCCTTCGGTTGCTCTCTCACCCGCAGTGTTGTACTGGTGTCCGAGCGTTGCCATAACAACGTACCCTGGACTGGGAGGCTTAAACAACAGAAATTTATTTGCTCACAGTTCTGGAGACTAGAAGTCCCAGATCAGGATGTGGGCAGATTTTGTCCGCCCCCTGGGGCGTCTCGCCTTGCCTGCCCATCAGTGTCTGTGTGTGTGTGTGTATGTTCCCCTGGTATCACTCTGTGCCCGTCTTTCCTCTTCTTATGAGGACACCAGTCACACTAGGGCCCACCCTAACAACCTGTCTTGAACTTACTCCATCTTTAAAGGCCTCCTCTCCAAACACAGCCAGTCTCAGGCTGGGGATTAGGCTTTCAACGCACGAGTTTGGGAGGGACACACCCCAGCCCATAACACGTGTATGAGTGCATCTGTTCTCACGGCCTCATCAGCAAAGCAAATTAGATTTATGACCATCTAATAAGCAAGAAATGACACATCATTCATTTTAATTTATCTTTCTCTTATTATAACCGAGGTTGAATGTCTTTTCATATGTTTAAGCCTTGTTTTTACCCTCAGATAAATTTGCCCTATTCAAATTTGCCTGTTTTTCTATAGAAATCTTGTTCTTTTTCTTCTCAGTTTCTTTTTTTAATACAGTTTTTGCCCCAGGCTGGGTTTGAACTCGCCACTCCTGTGGTTCAACGGAGTAGGATGCCAGCCCCACATGTGTCCCCCTTCTTCTCAGTTTTTAGAAGTTCTCAAATAGGACTGTCAACTCTTTGTGATATAAATTGCAAATATTTTTTCCTAGTTCATCACTGGCATGGACTCACTTTTGAATTCGCTTCAGCTCAGAGTTTCCTTACCTTGTAAATAGCATGAGTTCAGCCCAGGCTTACGGGCCCAGGCTGAGACTTCCCGTCACAGAGGACCCCGGGCCCCAGGCCAGCTCACACCCTCCTACACATGGGGGTGGGGACATGGACTTACTGGATCCTGCCAGGCACAGACACTTGCCCAGCTTCTGCCTTTCCACAGACAGCCCAGCACAGCCCCTGCCACCAGAGCCCACAGACTTGCTCCATTCCCGCGTGGGCACTAAACCCCAGCTGCAGAGACTTTGTCCTCTCCAGGTCCCCTGGGGCTACTTGACTTCAGTGTTGCTACCAGCTTGGGCTGTGGGTTCTGCCTTCATTTCTGACACCTGGAGATTTCCCTTTCAGTGCTTTTGACTTCAGCTGGCTATAAGAAGTGTTTTTCAGATGATTCGCGGCATTTTTTACTGTGTTAGTGGGTGTGGGAATTCTACATCTGCTTACGTGTACCATTTCTGCTTGGAAGTCAACATTAGGGCCTGTATTTCCCCAAGAGGATGTCATAATGCATTAAGTTCTTAATTTTCTTTTCTTCTTTTAGTGATGCTCTTGCCCTTAGCCTCCCAAGTAGCTGGGACTACAGGCGCCCAGCTTTTTTTGGTAGAGACAGGGTCTCACTCTGGCTTACTCTGGCTCAGGCTGGTCTCGAACCTCTGAGCTCAGGCAATCTACCCGCCTCCGCCTCCCAGAGGGATAGGATTACAGGCGTGATATGCATTAAGTTCTTATTGCTTACCTTTTGTCACACTGGTACTTCCATTAGAGAAGGGTACTTCTTCCTAGTGGCATTTTTTTTTTTCAAATTAGTGTAGTACAGAGAGAGAAATATTCTTGGGAAAGCTAATGGAAACAGAAGGATAACTGAGTTTAAAAGTCTCTGATATGTTTTTCTTAAATAACATATCTGTTCTATCACACTTTACTGTACATTGCCTTGGTTCACAGTTTCCTCACTGGGAGTTTTTACAGCCTGGTGTATTTATAAATTGCACTCTAGGAGTTTAGTTTACACACGGCCCAAGTGGAAGTTTCTCACACATTCATGTAGTGCTGCTGAAAAGGGATAAGGAGATAATCTCAAATGATCCTACACCTCCCAGCACCCATCTCAGTTAAAGAGGGTGCTATGGGGGCACCCTTGCCTTAAAGAGGGCAAGGCAAGCCAAGCCCCAGATAGATGAGTCAGAGGAAGGGAAAAAAAGGTGAAAGAGAGGTGTGCCCTCTCTGCTCCCCTGGACACCACCCGGGATGTAAGTGTTTCTCATTGCTGGCAGCTCTGGCCTTGGAATGCTTGGGGCAAGGTGTTGACAAACAACAGCATTGATGTCGTGATCTCTCTCTGCACTTCTTAAATTTTAGCAGAAGTAAGAATTGTGCGTTAAACTTGTTAAACTTTCAGATTCTTTCCTGGGTTCTTCCTTAGGTGCTCCTGGTAAGCACACAGGTGGCTGGACCTTGCCCCTCTGCTGCTGCGGGCCTAGGGCAAGGTCCAGCCACCTCTGTGCTTGCCTGGAGCACCTAAGGAATCTGCAGCACCTGCCCTGGACGATTCACTCACTATTCTGGGCGTGGTTTACAGAATTCAATCTGCAGGCCTCCCACCTCATCGCTTAGCAATTAGGGCCTTGGAGAAATAATTACAGTATGAGCATTCTCTTTCCATAAGAAATCGAGTTTAGCTTTGTTTAAATTCCTCCCAGTTTCTCTTTCCTGCTTCCCCATCATCTTTCCTCCTGGGCAAATGAGCATACAAGGATTCTATTAGCTCTCCAATGCCCGCTAAAAACATTAACTCAATCTGTCTGCTGTTCACGAGGTTGACCTCCTTCTGCGTGGGGTTTCCTTTGTAATCCAGCTTTATCCACAAATAGTCCATTCATCACCAGCAGCATATCGAGGCCCCAGGGCTTAAGAAGAATCTAGCTACTTATGTGGACAGCTGTCCCCTTCTCTAGCAACAATACTTGACCACCACAGGTCCTAAACCCCACGTAAAGAACTAAACTTTGCAGTGATCTTATAGTTGGTAGTTAAACACCCCCCCCCCAAAAAAAAAAAAAAAACGAAGCCTACATACTCCAGCCTGTCCACATGGTCATGCAGCTCAGGTCCTGGTGAAAAGGAGAAGCCAGAGGCTGGCTATGGCACTGCGAGGTCAGCACACTCACAGACATACTGTGATAGGGATGCCTATAGCCCACAGGGGCATGACAGACCTGGGGGTGACAGGCAAAGGACCCAGAAAACACTTCCTGCCCCTGACATCATATGATGCATTGATTCCCACACTGGTATATTGTTTCCCTTGGTCTCCATCTGGTCCAGCCCTTTTCCCAGATGGGGACATCGAGGACTTGCCTGAAACCTCATAGCTTGGCAGGGCACTTCCAGGCCTAGAACCCGGTCCCCTGACATCCAGGCAGTCTATTGTCACAATATCAAAATGTCCACTGCAGCCCCCCACGACCCCATGCATCAAGGCTGCTGCCTCCTTGGGATCTCAGAATCCTGGAGTGCAATGTTCCCATCTGAGCATCAGCAGATGAGGATTCAGCAAGCCTCAGCGATATTGGGGAGCATGATAGTGGGGTGCGGGATTGGAGAAAAAGCACCAGGGCCAGCAGTAAGGCAGACACTTCTGTGGGCACTGATGGACAGCTCTCCCACAGCATTTTGTCCTCACAGGGACAGTGGGGGAGGGCCTGGGCACCTCCTGCCTCCCCTCCCGCAGCTCACGGGCCTGCTTCTGTGTCCAGCCTTCAAGGCAGCCGCCCTGATCCAGAGGTGGTACCGGCGATACGTGGCCCGCCTGGAGATGAGGCGCCGCTGCACCTGGAGCATCTTCCAGTCCATAGAGTACGCGGGGCAGCAGGACCAGGTCAAGGTATGTGGGTCCGGGCAGGGCCACTTCCAGCTCCAGCCCTTGGACAGCAAGGCCAGGTGGCTGGACCAGTCCTGGGTTCTCTCCTCATCTCTAAAGCCAGGTGTCCTTGGGTTCCTCTGCAGCTCCACGATTTCTTCAGTTACCTCATGGATCACTTCACCCCCAGCAGCCACAACGAGAGTGAGTACAAGCTGACACAGGGCATCCTCCTGTCCCAAAGTCACAGACATCAGGGGAAGCAGGGCAGTGACCAGGGAGTGAGACCTCAAATCCAATCTGATTTCAGCCAGGGCACGCTAAGGGGCTGGTGAATGAACAGCGCAGTGGAAGTTTATTGTGGCTTTTCCCAAAACACACTTGGAAACCAGCATTTGTGTGCAGGGAGTGAATTGTAAAGGGGAGGAAATGTGAGAGGTGTAAGGGAGTGGGGAGAAGGCTCAGGACAGGGAGGGCAGCCGCTGAGTAGGGCTGGTAAGCCAGTCTCTCTGAGCGCCTGGGAATAGTGCACAACGCAGCCTCAGACTCGCCACCCTGTCACCCCACCTGGCCCCAGCATCACCCCACCCCGCCTGCCGAGGGAGCTGCACCTTCCTGTGTAGGCTCTGGGAGTCACTAGTTGAGAGGATGAGAGGGAGGGATGGTGGTCGCCCAGCCCATGGCATAGCTGCCTGCCACCGGCCAGGTAGGGTTGGACGTGGCGGTGGCGCACAGTGAGGCCTGGGAGGGTCCTTTGCCCTTTCCTCCTGCCTTTAAATGTATTTTGTACGTCTGGCAAATGCAATCCTTTGAAGTAAAAGTAAACCAGATAGCAAGCAGTGTTTTATTGACATAAAGACCTAGCTTTCCCTCCTGTGGGTCCTGGGCTGCTCTCTCCTCCCCTTCTCCGTTCTCTTTCCTGGTCCAGCCAAGGCCAGACTGGCAGGTCCCGCTTCCATTGCGGTTGGGGACCGCGGGTCTGGTCTGAGCCCGTTCGTTGTCCCCTGTCCGGCTAGGGGACTTCCTGAACCGCATGTTCACTGAGGAGAGATTCCCCGAGGACGCCGAGACCGACAGGAGCAGCGACTACGAGTCCATAGAGGTCCCCGACAGTTACTCGGGCCCGCGCCTGTCCTTTCCGCTGCTCCCCGCCCAGGCCACCGCCCTGGTGGAAGCTTTCCGGCTGAAACAAGTACGCTCAGGGGGGCCCGGGAGCGACGGCTCTGTGTGGCCTGCAGGGTGCCCAAACTCGGCACAGAAAGAATGGCCCCAGGTTTAGGGTGTTTGTGTCATGTGTTCACTGGAGGGACTCCACTCTGCTCAGCCAGGACCTGGCGGCCAGTGCTAGTGATTGACAGCGCCCCTAGTCTAAGGTGACCAGATGTCCCGCTTTTGGTGGGACAGTCCTGATTTTTAACAATTTGTCCCACGTCCCGTGGCATTTTAAAAAAGTCCCGATTTTTGGAAAGAATGCATGACAAGCTAGGGAACTCGGGAGAACAGGAAGGGAATATACAGTTTTTGGCTGTCATGTGGCTATTTCGCCAGGATATGAGTTTTATATTATTTTTGTTAATTTTATAATGTTAAACTTCAATAATAACAAATGTTGAGAACTGATTATCGTATCGAGAACTGCTTATCAAAGTTTGCATTGTGAGCAAAGTAGCTGTAGGTAGGAGAGATGGCAACTTTTTGGAGACAGGGTCTTGCTCTGTCACTCAGGCTGCATTGCAGTGGGGGTAATCATAGCTCACTGCAGCCTCTAACTCCTGGGCTCAAGTGATTCCCCTGAGATGGCAATTTATAGAGTGGTCTGGAAATGATTTCTGAGCAAGGATCCAAGGCGGTGATGGATGCTGTATGGGAACATCCAGGGCAAGAGTGGTCTGAGCAGAAGGGGACCAAACAGAAAGGCCTTGAGGCAGGAACTTGCCTGGACTGTTCAGAGACCTCAGGGAGGACATTGTTGCTGAAGGGGAGAGAGTCAGGGGCCAGTGGTAGAGGTGAGGGGGGTGACCTTTCATTCTTCTAAAAGAGATGAGGAAGAACTGGACAGAGAGTACAGGATTGATACAATCGGGCTTGCTTTGGTTTTTTTTGAGACATCTCACTCTGTCACCCTGGTTGGAATGCTATGGCATCACAGGAACCTCAAAGTCTTGGGCTTGAGCTATCCTCTTGCCTCAGTCTTCCGATAAACTGGGACTACAGGCACCTATCACAACACCCAGCTAATTTATCTATTTTTAGTAGAGAAGGGGTCTCTCTCTTGCTCAGGCTGGTCTCAAACTCCTAAACTCAAGCAGTCCGCCTGCCTTGGCCTCCCAGAGTGCGAGGATTACAGGTGTGAGCCACCATATCTGGCCTAACTAACTTACTAAAACAGCCATTCTGGTTGCTGTGTTGAGAATAGATGTAGGTGGAAGCTGGGAGACCAGTTAGTAGACTACTGCAATGGTCTGGGTAAAGGATGATGGCAGCTTGAAACTCTGGTGGCAGAGACAGGGGTGGCAAGAAGTGGTCGGATTCTGATTCTGTGTCAGCATCGGACCCTTCCCCTCTTTCACATGAATACAGTGCCCCACAGGGGGAGTTGGGATGGCACATCCCAGCCTTGACAAGATGACCCAGTGCAATCTTGGGTGACTGGGTCATTAAGCAGTAAAGGGAGGACTCCCTTCCTCATCAATATCAGTGCTGTTTTTGTCTTTTCTCTTCCTCCCAGTAGCAGCTCCATGCTCGCTATGTCTTGAACCTTTTGTATGAAGCCAAGAAACATCTGGTACAGCTGCCAAACATCAACCGGGTCTCCACCTGCTACAGTGAGGAGGTCACAGTGTGTGGTAAGAGCGGGTCATGATCTGCCCACAGGCTGCAAAGAGGTGTGGCACAAGGCCACAGGCCATTTCACTTCTTCCAAATGACCATTCATTTGCATATTTGCTCCACATTTACATAAAGGCCAGGTGCTGCCACAAAGGGGACCTGTGGAAATGAGGGCCCAGCCTCTGCTTTTTTTACCAAGGAATTCACCCAGATGCCCATTCTCCATTCAGAACAAAAATCCCTGCATGTAACCAGCCCCTCCTTGTTAGAAGACAGACAGTTCATTTATTGGTACTTGAGCAATGACTAGCGAATTATCCAGGTACATTCCTCTCCCTGTCCTGGTAAGGATAGTTTTCTCTGTCTCCGGTCATGGTTAACATCCTTTATAGACTAACACCCTCCCCGGAACCTGGCTCCAAGGGGGAGCCAGTGGGAGGGGCTCCAGGGACAGCAAACTGCACTGCTCGGCCACATGCAGCCTGTCTTGTCTGCCCTGCGATGTTCTCAGACTTTTAAAATCCGTATTCCAACATTTGCAAATTAGAAGATCTCATGTTAAAATCTAGATTTTTCCTTGGGGCGGCACCTGTGGCTCAAAGGAGTAGGGCGCTGGCCCCATTACCAGAGGTTCAAACCCAGCCCGGGCCAAAAACTGCACACAAAAAAAAATCTAGGTTTTGCCACTTCTTTTGAAAAATCTCCTGACATTGGCTCATAGTGAGTAGGAGCTCCCTACTTGGGCACAATGTCTCCAGTTCTCATCTGGGTTTGCAACCCTGCCTTACTCTATCCCATCTTTGCTTTAGTGAAAATATTGGTTGTTTACTATTTATGATAATCATGCAGGAAAAAACTGTGCTTTGTGCTTCCAGTATTAACTACCTCTGCAACAAGCAGAAATCAAGATTTATCTCTACCTTACATGTGGAAGAATTTATAACTATAGGTTTCTTTCTTTCTTTTTTTTTTTTTAATTGCAGAATATTACAAGGACTGTAGGGTTCTTTGTCAGTTTTTTCTGTGTATTTTCCTTTTTATAGTGAAAATTAGAAACCATTGCAAAACCCATCAGAACTGATACCTCTCTTTCTATCTTTGTTAGGAGATTTGCACGGACAGTTGGATGACTTAATATTTATATTTTATAAGGTATGAATGTTCAAATTAAGTTCCTTTCTCTGAGGCTTAATTCAGAGGTCCAAATATAGTATCTATTAAACAAATGGTTTGGTATTGTTTATATTTTTAAAATAATAATAAAAGTCAACACTGCATTATATTCTAGTTTATTTTTGTAAACTGGTAATAAACAGAAGGAATCATTATTTAGCAATTGATTTTCATTTTTTCAAACAGAGAAAAATTGTTCTTATCAAAGTAATTAACCAAAGGCTTGCTTATCTATTTTTAGTTATAAAATGTAGAACATGTGACAAGGTAGATGACTATAATAATACTTTATTAATGGAATATTACTTTATATACATACTATACTCCCCTAAGCATTTTCCTATGCCTTATCTTTTTAATCCTGAGGAATCTATGGCAGTTGTTATTATTGTGATTTCTAGTTAAAGACAGTGTGGCCAGAACTTACAACTGGCCTTCGACCACAAGGTCAGCTCCATACCCCACAGCAACACTCTGGGGTGTTTATTCTAATGAGCATCTCAGAACCTCAGAACTGGAAAGGAGATACAAGACCAATACAAGATATTTCCACCTTTTACTGACGGTTTGCATTTGAAGAAGACCCCAGAAAGCACAGAACTGGTGTTACCCCTGACGTGACTGTCAAGTGCCCATTGGCTTTAACTGGATTTCCTTTGTCCCTCCCTCTGCTGACTCCTTGATGCCCTGCTGGGAAGAACGGCCTTCCGTCACCAGAGCGGGTGTACGTGTTCAACGGTGACTTTGTGGACCGGGGCAGTGATTCAGTAGAGATCCTGATGGTCCTTTTTGCCTTCATGTTGGTTTACCCAAAAGAGTTCCATCTCAACCGAGGAAACCACGAGGACCACATGGTGAACTTACGGTACAGGCCAAAACATGCTGGTGTAGTTGTTTGTTTCTTGTGACTATACACAGTTATTTTGCCAGAGTTTTGTTTGTTAGATACCTTTAAAGTTATTGCCCAATGTTTTGAAAAAGTAAAATACAAAATACATAACATTTTAAAAGATTTTTTTTTTGAGACAGAGTCTCACTATATTGCCCTCCATAGAGTGCTATGGCATCACAGCTCACAGCAACATCAAACTCTTGGGCTTAAGTGATTCTCTTATGTTAGCCTCCTGAGTATCTGGGAGTATAGATGCCCATCACAATGCCTGGCTATTTTTTGGTTGCAGTTGTCATTGTTGCTTAGCTGGCCCAGGCCAGGCTCAAACCCACCACCTTCAGTGTATGTGGCTGGTGCCCTACTCACTGAGCTATGGGTGCTGAGTCAGATTTTTTTAAGTTTGAATATTTCATGGTATTCTAATAAAAGCATTACTTTTTTTTTCACATATCTGTACACTCTCTCTCTCTCTCTCTTTTTTTTTTTTTGAGACAGGGTCTTGCTCTATCACCCCAGCTAGATTGCCATGGCATCATCATAGCTCACTGCAACCTCAAACTCCTGGCCTCAAGTGATCCTCCTGCGTCAGCCTCCCAAAATGCTAGGATAACAGGCAGGGGCCATGGGGCCAAGCCCATGCTCTTCAACATATACAGGGTGGCCATAAAGTTCATGGGCAATTTTTAAATTGCATGTTGTTTTAAATTACATATGAACTTGATAGCCACCCTATATATCAGAAGGGTGTATGATAGTAAAAGCAAAAAATAGATACAAACAAAAAGAAGGTATGTTAAATATTCCATCATTTCTCAATCAAGAGATAATGTGATAACTGTAAAGTCTTTTGTAATTATTGCTTCCCTATGTATTTAAGTACCTATATTTAAAATGTGCATTTTTGTGAAAATGTGATTATGCCCCAACTATTGTCACTGAGCTTACTTTGGTAATTATTTTTGTTTCTTAATCTAGATATGGCTTCACCAAGGAAGTGATGAATAAATATAAGGTATGCCGCTTTAAGAGCAAAAATTAGTTAGGAGAAGTCAAGTGAATTATTTGATGCTCAACATTATGTTAATATCATTTTTTTCAGGTACATGGCAGGAAAATACTAAGGACCCTGCAAGATGTTTTCTGTTGGCTTCCCCTGGCCACTCTGGTTGACGAGAAAGTTCTGATTCTTCATGGTGGGGTGTCAGACACCACTGACCTGGAGCTTCTGGACAAACTAGACAGGCACAAGGTACAGATGCTATTCAAATTGTACCATAACACTCAGGTTCACTGCCAGCAAACAACCAATGTCATCTTGTGTGCTGACTCCGGTAGACTGATAGTGGCTTTTAAGAATGTGGAGAAGGATTGAAACCCCAAAGCTGGGCGTGGGGGCCAGTGTGTGTTGGCTAGTGGGGAGTGGCCAGGAATGCTGCACATTTGCCTTCCTGCTCTAGATGATTTTGATCTCTACGTCTTAGTCCCTGTCACCAGAAGAGCCTCCATTTCCCAAACAAATCATATCATCTCCAATTAAAGTCACCAAATGTGTACTTAACACCTAGTGTTCCACTCAGGGAGGGTGCTATTGGCAACTACAAAGAAAACCAATTTCAGTTAAACTCAACAAATATGTTCTGAGTGTTTACTCAAAGGAAGTGTTGGAAGAGACAGGAAGATGGCGGGCATGGTGCCTGCCCAAAGGCACTCACAGTATGTAGAGCGCCTGGGATCAGGCCAGGAGAGAGTGAGGCAAAATATATTACATCCCAGTAAGTTTCTATTTGCCATTTTAATTTGGGAAGTGGAAACCTAGAAAGCAAGTTTCTATTTTATTTTAATGATAGACTTTCACACTTGAATGGCACCTGATAGCTCCAGTCCTTCCCCTGCTCCTCTTACACAGGAACTCCTGCTGTACCACATTCCCTGCCCCCTCCCCCCCACAGCAATTCCAGAGACAGAGAACTCATCACCACACAAGCCAGTGTAAGTATGACCTTAGAGTCAGACAGACCTTGGACTTTGAATCTTGGAACAGGGAGTTATTAGCAAGATCCCGTGTCTGCTAAAAATAGAAAAACTAGCTGGGTGTTGTCATGGGCTCCTGTAGTCCCAGCTACTCAGGATCACTGAGCCCGACAGTGTGAGGTTGCTGTGAGCTACGATGATGCCATGGCACTCTACCCAGAGTGACAGAGTGAGACCAGAGGATCACTGAGCCCAACAGTGTAAGGTTGCCATGAGCTATGATGATGCCATGGCACTCTACCCAGAGTGACAGAGTGAGACCAGAAGATCACTGAGCCCGACAGTGTGAGGTTGCCATGAGCTACAATGATGCCATTGCACTCTACCTAGAATGACAGGGTGAAGCCAGGGAATCACTGAATCCAACAGTGTGAGGTTGCCATGAGCTACAGTGATGCCGTGGCACTCTACCCAGAATGACAGGGTGAGACCAGAGGATCACTGAACCCAACAGTGTGAGGTTGCTGTGAGCTATGATGATGCC